TAAAATGAGGTGCATGTCCAAAAATCCTAGAGCTAGCATAAATTAGTATCTATGTATACATGGATAATTTCATATTTATGAAAATCAATATGTGTAATTGAAGTTATAATAACTAGAACATTAAAACTTTTTCAGCAAATCCAAAAAAAGAAGGCAAATTTTCACAGCTGTAAATAATATTGGTCAACACGGGCTGGTATGCCAAAACTGATCCTGGGTATGTTTTTATAGCTGATTCAAAAAATGGCCGTACTTTCCGGATCAGTTTGGACTTTAGGCCCGTTGGGGTAAATTGAAAATTGGTTAAATGCCCTTCTCCACCCTTATACCACCATATGAAGCTCATCCCATTGTTTTGCGTAAGGAATGGGGTGGACTTCATTTTTCTTTGGTGTGTATAATGGATTTATTACTAGCTGTTAATTACCGCTGAAGCTGAAAATGACCTTGGTTTTTTCCCAATACCAACCAAATTTTCTGAAAATGGAATTTTTCAAAAATGCGTTATTCATGCAAAGGAAAACGAAATAATTGCGTAAATTCCAATCCACAAGTTTCGTATCTATATTTTTTGCTCAAAATGATACTAGCTTGAAAAGAACCAGAAAAAATTAATATTATTCAATTGAGGAGGTTGTGAATCTGAGACGCCAACATGGTTCGCCTTCGGAATATGGCCAATCGATTATGCCAACATCGGACTGTCAGGTAAACGTTTCATTAAAAATGTTCCGAGAAAAAAATCACTTGCAAGGCTCATCACTCATTTTAATCATGCAATATCGCATGTTCGTGAGGACTAACCGATGGTAGGTGGCCTATGAGCTTAATCAGAAAAGATACAATTTTTCGGGCCGTATATCCCTTTTCCTCATGGCTCTAACTATTTTTAGGACCATAAGCGCCAGGTTTTCAGTCCAGTATACTGCCGTGCGAAGGAAAAACGTCGTATGAACCTTCAGGCGTTGCCGAATTTCCTTTCATGAAACGCTAATTTTCTTGCGAACTTATAAATATTTTCTTCCCAATTTTTCAGATGATTTCGTTCACAATTGCACCTAAAGATTCTGAAAATTGAAAGGAAAAATATTCATAACTTTTCTCAAAAATAAACATTTTATCAAAGTAAATTTGGCAACTCTCGAATGTTAATACGGCTTCTTCCCTAGCACGGCAGTATATGAAACCGGCACTAATATGTTTTTTTTTAAAAGTAGGTTGGGGATCGAAGATTCTATCTCATTGAATATTACTCATCACTCCCGCCGAAAAAGAATAGCTTGTACCCGCAAGAGTCAGGAAAATTGTCTTGTTCGCCTTCCAAGCTACCCAGCGGGGTATTATTAGGGCTAGTCCTTGATTTTTAAATCATGGCAGTAGTCAGACAATTAGAATTGCATTTAATCTATACATCTTTTTCAGAAAAGTAAACCGATCAAATTAATAAAAAATAAATAAGTTTTAGAGACAAATGTAAGGCACATTATTCAAATCAATCGGCCAATTTTTCTCTCCTTCTTTTTCCTACTTTTCCAGAAACACAGTTAGCTGCAGTGCAGTCTCAAGTATTTTTCATGCCCATCGTGTTATTTATCTGACCTACAAACACTTAAAAAATAAAGTGAATTTTTATCTTTTTGGTAATTTTTTAGTTTCAGAGTTAAACTTTATCGTGTTGAATCTCGAAATTCTCCAGCCAAGTTTATACTTATTTGGATGAGTTTCCAACGGATTCACTTGTCTGGAAATATGTGCGACACTCATAGTGCATTAACTCATTTATTGCAAAAATTTTGACGAAAAATACGTTTTATCCTTATCCAAATACATATGTATTTAGGAATGTTGAGCAGCTTTATATGGTCCTTTGAACTTTAAAGTTTTGTTTTAAATTTTTATCAATAGCCATCTATGTCGTGCTATCTTCGATTCAAAAGCAGAGATGGCATCATATCACCCCGTCGATACTCTGAAGCGTAATGTTCCGAAGTGCAAGATTTTAATGCACTTTCCATGCAGTCACGTTTCTCTCAAGGACAAGCTTCTAGACAATGACAGTTAAATTTTATCATAGGTGCGTTTTATGATTTTTATCTGCATTCTAAAGCGTGACATTATTCTATTCCATACCCTTGATCAACAAATTTTATGAGCTTAACATTCCTCTTTATGCAACTACTCGTCAACCACCCCCATAAAAGTTATGCAGTTTTAGACTAATTTTAAAACAAGGAAAAATTATCTTGTAACTGCACATTTCCCATTTCGTAAAAGCGAAAACTTATTTCCCCAAAATGTAATGTGATCCAATGGAAAATCCTTCCACTGAATCATTTTTTGAAGTTTATATTTTCATAGTTGCTTTTTTAACTTTTCAGTCATGTAAAGCAAATTCAATAATTTGAGACATAAAATATTTGATTGCTCCTTTTTGATGGTATAAGAAATGTCCTCTAAAATACACTACCTGACTTAGAAAAAGAGGACGATTTCAAAGAGTAAAATTGCAAAAGCAGAAAAGTAACATATGTATATCTTTATTACTGATTCTGAGGCAGCAGAACTATACTGGTTTACAAGTGAGTACAAAAGATACCCGCGCCTCTTTGTACTGAAGAAATCATCAAGTAAAAATGGTTGATTGACATTGTCAATACTATATAGCCCATGACTTGGTGCGACAACCTCAATCCTCTTTTTGAACTGGCTGCACTAGTAACGCGCAATTTTTAGAGCGATACATAAATTGAAGCAACTAAATACATCTTTCAAATCATCTTCCTTTTCTCATTTTCCACGTTGAACCTTTGGTGCGATTTAAAAATTGAAATCATAATTTGCTGCACGCGTTTGCATGGCCTCATTTTAAACATTGGTCGAGTGCGCAAACTTATAAGTCTAGTTTATGAGAATGGACACAAGTCAGATATAACCACAAATACCTTTACACAATGAAAGTGAAACACCAGTGTAAATCCTCTAAAACTTGATTATGCAAAGTTTTATCTAAACATTGAGATAGATGACGCCATCGATAACTGTACTCTTGAACTACCAGCCATTTTAAGGTAGCCATATATTTGTCCGCTTTCTGGTCATGCCATTGGTTGCGGCTTCCATATTCAAATCCCTGTAATATTTATGAAACTTTATAAAATTTCCTAAGCCGAGAGAAAAGCTCATGTAATTTTAACTTCATTTTGCATCTCTACTCACAATGGTGCTGTGTGCCTACCACCGTATACAGCACAGGTTGTTAGCGCGTTGACCAAGACTAAAATAAGTGCCGCGAATGTATTCGGGCACAAGGAAGAGGGAAAAAATAGCTTAAACTCTCATTATTGTTCATTAAACCCTATTTCACTCCACCGAGGGCAGTTCACGCGCGCAACCATAAATGCCACACATTTCCGACCTGCTCAGTGCTCATGTCCCACAGGTAGATCGTATGTAACACAAATGCCCGGTATGTGCCTAGGAATTAAATATGAACGCAGCGCATTCGTAGATTTTTAATGGTAGACACCCTGGTAAATTAGTGTACCTATTCACGAATGAGTTCATATGGCAAAGCCTTTGGCGTTTTGGGGGTTATTGAGTGTTGGTAAATTGCAGTGGCGTGGCGTGAATTGCGATGTATCGATTGTTATGCCATTTAAACATTTGGTAAAGAATCGATTATTAAGGTGTTCGCTGCGAACCCCCTGTTTATCGATCCTTTTCCATAGGTTTAAATGGCAAGGGAACATTGGTATGATTCAGTCGGCTACAGACAGAGTAGGTCTGTCTACGAGTGAAAAATCTATGAAACAGAAGAATCACCCTTAATCGTGGAGTTTTCCATTGTCGGAAAAGCATATCGATGGGCCAGAGTGCAAAACGTCGTATCTCCTTTGCGTTGTTTCAAAATATTCGCTCTTAGTTTATTTTTTCGTAGGGAAATAATCCAACCTTAAAACTTGAAATTTATGCAAAATATTCCTCTGAGAGAAGAAAATTAAGGACTTTTGTTAAGAAATTACGTTAACTAGTTATCCAAAGAAACAATAAAGTATGAGTGGAAGTCTATACACCATCGCAAACGGAGATACATGGTTTCGCACTTTGACCACCAATATGGGCAGGAGAGAAAACACTGTTTATTACTACATTTAAAATTAAATTAACAATGGTCAGGATCAGTTCAGAGCGATACCGGCAGATTTTAGAAGTTGATTCTATCAGAGGTGGGCCCAAGAAATTGCAGATGTCCAAAAGACAGGAAAATCAGTAAAATTCAAATTTAGAAATGCTGAACATTTTCCTGATAAAAATGCAATTTGTGAGTGAAAATTTCACGACGTTGAATTTAGTCACATTTTTTCATCTGAGGAACGCCGACTTATGAGCAAAGACTTTCAGATCCGCAACTTCAATTAAAAAAAAAAAAAAAAAAAAAAAAAAAAAAAAAAAAAAACTAAACCTCTAACTAAAATGTCATTAACTGCGGTCAATATCAATTCAGAGTAATGATGATAGATTTCTATCGAAGGAGGGCAAAAGAAATCGCAAATGTTCAAATGCTAAACATTTTCTGGTAAAAATGCAATTTGGGCTACATTTTGTGATTAGAAATTACAATTTATAGCTCATCCATAAAATTAATTATGTGCATAGAGAAATTAATGTTGCATACGTCGTTTTTCAACTGAGCAGGATATTATAGTTCTAAATTGCAAAATGCAATCCATTAGTGAAAGGAAACGTCGCGACGTTAAATTTTAAGTACGTTCTTTCGTCTGGGAAACGCCGACTCGTAAAAAAAGACATTCAGCTCCGTAACTTGTGCGAAGTTCATGGGTGGTTTCAGTGTAAAAACAGTAGGACGCAGCGGGTGGAGCTTGGATTGGCGGCATGCGAATTGCTGGTTGCCTGCCCGGGAAGTTGCAGGGTGACGTCAGCGCGTTGAGATTCTGTGATCCAGCAAACTGCCATGCGGTGGCTTTAGTCCGAGGATCTTGATCGCGCCGAGTAGCCGAGTGGTCCGCGCATGGCCGACTTAAACGAGTGACTTTCGATTAAGTACGCGAAAATTCGCTTCGCCCAATGCCCGATCGGATTCGCAATAAGTTCTCGTTGTATTCTATTTAACTTGTGTCAAACCATGTTTAGTTTAATTCATCATAGGAGGATCAGTATAGTTAAGTTTTAGTTTTCTTTAGCTTTAAGTTCGGATAATAATCGTATTGGAGTAAATTTTGCCGGCAAATCTAATTTCTCGTCGAAATTCAAGTGCTTTATTTGGTTATATATAGTTTATTTATAGTGCTCGAAATTATTCGGTTGACGTCCGCGTCCTGGTTTAAAGTGTGTGTGGAAAAAGTCATGATAAACTACATTGCTGCAAGCTGAAAAAGGCACCATGCTTACCACCGGTAAGTTATCTCGGATTTCCACTCTTATCATTTTCTATTTTCATCCGGAAAAAATCGCATGATCCTTACTCATCTTAATGCTGAAGTTGAGGTCTACGAATTTTCAAGTTTTTAAAGTTCTTGCAAAAGTAAAGGCGCCTTTTTTAAGCCCGTCCCTCTCCAAAAGCAAATCAACTGCAGAAGCAACTCACTGCATTATATAGGTCTGCATATTTTGCAAAAAATTAAGAACCAAAAGTTACTTTTAAATTCACGCCACTATATGGCAGCAATTTTTCTACTGTAAAAATTGTTTAATTTCAAGGAAAATGTGATAGACTTTTTGTAAAGAGATTTATGACTGTACCAAGTCCTTAAAATATTACAATTTTTTCTTTTTGTTTTTTTTTATCACGATAATTTTGTTTACGATCCATGCTTCTTGTCATTTATTGGGGAAAATTTTAGGTTTGATGTAAGGCCATAAAATAAAATAATATAAAATGTAAGTAAATACATGAAAAAGGAAGTTAGATTGACATTGCGTACCTAAATTCCTGTCTAAATTTTCACCGAACCTTTCCCTCGTACTATTTCAGATTACACTCAAATTATTAATTTGCGCCCTAAATAAATCGATCTTCCAATGAAGAATAATTATCTAGATTCACGATCAGTATTCTCTGACCACATCTTTCTCTGAACGGATAAAAGCACTATTGAATGAAGGAAATTTTTTCTGACAGTGCAACCAAATGTGTTTGAGTGGCTGTCTATTATCGACTTCTTTCAAAAAGTATCAATTCAAATAATATAGAATTTAAGTCCGTAAAATTGTGACTTTTGGTTATAAATTATAACTCTTTTTTTTTTTTTTTTTTTTTTTTTTTTTTTTAATTCTCATCGTTCGCCATGCCGTTCTTTGAACTTGATGCAGATAATAAAGGATCGATTTGAAATACTCGATAATAAATATGTAGAGCCTTACTAAACGCAATAACCTCCTGTTTTTCTTTTTTCTGTAAGCAGAAGACTAATCAACGCCGCCTATGCCTCACTTAAAAACCAAAACCAAAATTCTTTTTCATGCTCCTAAAACTGATATAACTAAATTTCTTTCCTATGAGTTGAGTCCAACCTCCTAAAAAATTGTAAAAAAATTCACATGCATGTGCATAAATTTAACTATTATCAACTTAAACGGATTGAGCCGACACATAGTTTATTAATACGTTTTGATAAAATTACCATCCAGTATGATTAATTATGTAAATGCGTTTTTATTCCCCTTAATTTTTTTTCTTTAAAAAATCGCTAATTCTTATGAAAGAGAGCAATTTTCATTTTAATATGTATTATCATTTCATATAAGAATTCAATCAAATATCAAATCTTAAAATTTTCTAATTTTTTTTATTTTTACTGTTTTTCCGTTCATGAAATAACCCGTCTGACTCTAGCTGAGTTTTGAAAATTTTAACCTCTTGCCTTTTGGTTAATGAAAATAACGGTATATTAATGTAACATATTGGCTAAAAGAGTTTTGGATTTTATCGCTCTTTTAATGGACCTCGATCATATAGTGACTTAGAGTGACACTCTGCATTTTTATGATTCCACTGGACCCACCCAAGATAACATTTGAATACGCCTAACTGCTCTCGGCTAACTGCGCGAGGAAAACGAATAACCGTTCATCGGGCTGCCTTTCCTCTCAGTCTGAGCTGTTATGTCACGCGTATTTTTCTTTTTTGCCTTCCCTTCATTCGCGGAACTTTTCCTTTCGATTAGATCGTTTGACAACTCCCTAACGTTTCGTTTTAGTTCGTATTTATTTATACTGCACTTGCCGCCCTATTAACCTTATCTTGAGACTAGTTCGTACATAAGTAATACGTCGTTTTATTACCCAAAAATATTGATAGCTGAAGTTAAAAAGTGTGTTCTCCCGATTACACGTTCAAATGTCTGATCATGTATTATTTTTTGTTTTAAAATTAGAGCTAACTAAAATTCCTAGAAATTTCAAATGGTTTTCAAAAAAATCTGGTATAAGACATCGCAAAACAGACACAAATTTTCAGACTTCAGCTATCGATATGCACTTTTTAGGTTCCGAACTATGTCTAAAAGTCTACGTAAAAATTATATTACTTCAATCAAAGTCATGACATTTTTTCGAATTCTAAATTCACAACTCTCCGTGCTTGAATTTTCTTTCCCATCATGGTTGATAATGTGGTAGGCAAAAAATGTATAAGATTCAAAGTAATTTTATTATTATTTCGCTAAGAAGAAGCAAGTTTAATAAATTGTGGGACTTTTGTTAATATTGCAAAAAAGGATGAAGAATGAAAGAATACCACTTAAAAATATTTTACTATTTTACTTTTTTTTAGTGAAACTGTTTTGTTTTTTTTAAAAAAAATCACTATAAAATTTAATTTTTCCGATTCAACTGCCTTTTAGAGTTAAAGGAGAGGTGTCCCCGAGTTCTCGTGGTTTACGAAGCTATTGAATTGGCAATTTTATAAAATTCCTTGCATCTAGCGAAGTAATAGAATAGCAAAATTGTTGTTGAATTTAATTGAGTTATTTCTGAATCTGTAAACGGAGTTCGTTAAACTCCTTCTTTCGAATGAACTTTACCAGTCTCGCTATCATTTGTCAGAATCAACATGTAAGGATATTACGGACATGCGTTCATTTTTTAGGATGACAATCTGTTTTATTCTACCTTCCATTGCGAACAACAATAGCACATAGTGAACATCGTGCAATGAAGGAATCTTATGAGCTACTGATTTTGATGCTGATAGGATGCCTCTATAGCTATATAATTCTTGATCTTTCAAAAAAGTATTTTTGTCAGAAATTTCAATGCTATACGAACAAATAATCTTGAGCCTTGCACCCTCTTTTAAGAATTTTCAAATAATTTGAAAAAATCGCATTTTAAGCAAAATGCATTTGAAGTTTTACTGATGGTCATTTCTCATTCTAGGATGTTAAAACTTTGACCTAAGCGTTCAAGTCCTCGTGTAAGTTGTCGTCAGTGGTCACAAAGTAATAATGAAAACTTCAAATGCATTTTTCTTAAAGCACAATGTTTACCCTTCTTCCGGAAAGCTCCTCAATTTTGCTTTTCACTTATGAAGGTCAACTAAAATAGGTCATGGTCTATGTTTTACTAGGTGGGAAAAATGATTATTTATTATCATTTTAAATAAATTCTTGCTGTTGACATTGTCTTTTTATTTTTATCGGAGTTACGTCTATTTTCGTATAAGCGTAGTATAATTGATAAGTATATTTTCCCAACAAAATAACTTTTTTAAAATCCAAAACTCGAAGGAATCTCATGCGTTATCTATATACCATGATAGCGTTTGTAAACTTAAAGTTTTTTGTTTTTATTTTTCCGCGGAAATTCGTAAATACTGGTTTCATTTTTAACAAAAGATACGTAACTGTTCCACCAATTTACCCAGCATCGTAAATTAACTGCATCGCAGAGAGGGAAACTGTCAGAGTAGGACGAAAAATCCTTGATAGGCGTGTCCGCTATTTATCATCCGCTTCTTTTCGCTGCAACCGCATTAAGAAAACATTATCTTAAGCGCGGAGGCATTAGCTGTAAACAAATTGCATCCAAGGCTGGTTAAAAGTTCTCAAGGTCGAGGAGTTTCCCCCTGAGGGGATTTTATAAAATCCTAAACGAGCCTTTAAATGCGAGAAAACGGAAACTATAGAGGCAGAAGACACTCACCCTTTACGGATGAGCCACTCGCATTTTTAAAATCCGTTTGAATGTTGACTGATGAGAGCTCAAGCTCACTTTCGCGGATGGGATACCGGCGCACGGTGGATCGAGTCAAGTAGAGAGGTCGGACATGCAATTTTTGACTAAAACTGCAAATTTTGATTTTTTTTTTCGTCACGTGTCAAACTTCACGGGGTGGTTTCAGAAGAAAATTTTGCGAGGAAACCAAAGGAACAACTTTTAGAACCTCAAAGTTTTGTTTAAACGGAGTTACGAGCTCTCAAAGTTTCCAAAGTTTGTCCGACCTCTTCCATGGATTCGATCCATTGTGCGGCGGCTAGTGCACGTGATTTGTCATGAAAAGTGATTTAATGCCCCCCGTCACGGCACGTTCACCGATGCCTCACAGCAGACACCGTCTGCTTTGCATGTTGCGTTCACCGGTTTCAATTTTGCGTTCCCCGGCGCAGCAGCAGGTAGCTGGCTCCTTTTAAGCCTCAGAGAGGCATGTGCGGTAAATTAGCAGAATGCACCTTTTTCCAGCGCGTTCCCTGGATATTTATTTCTTCATCCAAGAAGTAGCTTAGTTCGTAATCTACGGGGCAGGTCTCACACACGAAGAGAAAATAATGGTTGCTCGTACGATGCTCAAATCGGATTCCGGGTTCTACCTACTTCTTTAGTCGTAGTAACAATGGTAATTTTGTGGTAAAAATTAATCGGTCCGGTCAGCGTCGTTACCGAGACAGATGTCATTGCTACCTTAAAAGTAAAATCACGGGAAAAAATAAATCGCTAATTTAACAATTGAATTTTTAAAAAATATGTCCGACATGTCGTCACCTTCCAGGCAAAGTATCACAAGCGCCATGCGACGTTTAAAAATTTCCGCCGCCATTTTATTTCTTTACTGAGAAATTGTTGGTTGAATCTGTTTGGAAATTTCACTAAATTTTATCGGCAGCACAAAGAAAATTTAGTGAAATTTTCGGACAGCTTCGTTGAACAATTTCTCTGTAAAAAAATAAAATGGCGGCGGAAATTTTTAAACGTCGCATGGCGCTTGTGATACTTTGCCTGGGGGGTGACGATGTATCGAATGTACATTTTACGATAGTGGAAAGCTAATTTAATCACGGAACGGAGGTAGTTATAATAACATTTTTTTATCGTAAAATCTACATTGAAACATGTCGAGCACTTTTTTTGGCTAAAAATGCTTAAATCAGCGATTTCATTTTCCCCGTGATTTTACTAA